GAGAGAGAGAGAGAGAGAGAGAGAGAGAGAGAGAGAGAGAGCGAGTTGAGAAATTTTGGTTTTACTTTTATTTTCTTATTTTACATTTAAAATATTCAACAAAAAACTTAAATGAATATTTTGCAGAATAAATCTCTCGGAAAGTGAATGAATTGAGCAAAAAATGTTTTGCATAAAGAATATGCAAATGTATGTATAATTCTATTAAACATTTCTCAATTGTACTCAAAATTCTTAATAATAGATTTCGTTGCGAAGAAAATTATATCTCAACCGCTTTTATATATGAAATGAATGTTTGAATACATTATAAAATATTACTTCAAAAGTACCGTAACTTAACTCTCTCTCTCTCTCTCTCTCTCTCTCTCTCTCTCTCTCGTGAGGTGTATTTCATATGTATAACAAATAGATATTTACTTTACTTTACATTTTGAACACAATATGAAAAAAATTATTGATTAATTTAATATATTTTTATAATATTATTATATTTTTAAATCAAACAAAAATTATCAGTAAAAGCTTTTCTATTGAATATCATTACTTTCATAGAAATTTATTTCTCATAACTAGATTATATATTTTATTTTTTGTACAAAATCTAAAATTAATATATAAATGCTATATTTAATGTAACATAGATCCTATGTGATAAAATATCCTACTTTACGTACTTTTATAACTCAATATTTACTAATTTCTGCAGTATATACAGTGTATACTAAAAATATAAATAGTTAAACATAAAATGCATAGGAATTATAAAACATTATTTAAATAATATATATCAATATTAAATATATGGTCGAGTTATTTTTAAAATTATTGCTACATTACAAATAGCAATACAATTATCAATTCATGTGCTTAAATGACAAAATTTGAATACAAAATATGATTTAAAGTGATAAATAGTCATTTAAATGGTGACATATCTCCGGCGCCGGCACTCATTTGCATCACTGAATGGATATAGAATTCTTGAGTTAAGTATTTTGCTTTCAATTCATTCATATATTGAGACAAATATGGATTAATTTTCAAAGTGACAACCGTTTGGCACACAATACGTGACAAAAACAATATTAAACTCAAATGTGTCACAAATTTTTGTAAAAACAAAAAACACATGAAAATTTTCATTATTTTTCATCTAAAAAACTTATATGATTTGTTAAATCGATTTTTATTGCCTTTAATAGTCGTGTTTAAAAAAAGCGGAAAACTTTCATTATTTTTGTGACTATAAAATGATTTCTTTAGTGTCGACTAAAAAAGACACGTTTTGTTTGCTTATATGTGAAAAACCAATTGGTTTTATCGATAAGTGTTTTATCCAAAAAACAAATTTCTATAACAATAAACTTTCATAATTCTGTCCTCAGGTTTAGTAACGAGTGATTTGTGAACAAAAAAAATTGGTAACAAAAACGACAATACCTTTGCCTGTCCTTTGGGACAGGGCTTAGAGCAGACGGACTCGGGAGGGGTGGTCTCGTTGACTGTGATGAACGGCCACTGAAAGGGCCGAAGCATCTTAAAGTCGCCGCCACTAATCCAAGAGCCGACGTGAATGTAATCGTATTCAGTGGCGGATATTCTCTGGTAATTCATTATATCGTACCTAAAGAGAAGAGACAATACATTCGGCTAAAGAATATACAGATTCTGTGCTGTCATAGCATTTGGCTGTCAAATGTGTGTTTCAATTACTTCTCTACTCCCAGAAACCTGTGTTGAAATTAAAAGTTTGCGATTGTTTTATATAATTCGTAACAAAAAACCCAAAACCAAAACATAAATCATAACAAAACAAAAGAAAAAACAACAAATGCCCCAAAACTTGAAAATTACTTCATTTCTTTAAACAGATCTAACGTACGCTTAATAGGAGAAGAATTGTTATTAATTATTGAATAGTATTTGTTTTTATTGAGACAATACAAGTGTTAGTATAAAGTGGTAAGAGTTTGAATGAGTGATATAAGCCTACCTTCCGGGTGGGTCTCCGTTGTCGTCAAACATGACGGTCTCATTGCCCCAAACGAACGACACATTCATCAGGTGTTGAAGAAATACGGATCCGTTGACGGGAAGCATCTGAGAGCAGAGGCCAGTCGTGTTGGGACACTGACTCTTCTGCATGTTGTGGAGGCCGTAAGCCATCGTCCAAATGGCTTTCTTCACAAATGCCATCTTTGTGTCCTGTTTATGCTTAGAGTCGTTCAGCCGCTCCATACCTAATATCATCGTTAATTATATTCATTTTGTTATTCATCATCGTCTAAAAGCCATTAAGTTAATATATAACTTGCGTAAGCATTTATTTTTATATTAAATAACCATAATGTTAAACATAGATAACGTTTATAATTTTAATTGTAATTAATATGAATTTTATAATTTTTATAACGCGCTCTCTCTCTCTC